TCTGTACTTTGACCCATCAACCTTTTACCCCCAATCGGGGATATTGCAGATTATGTATTTCCTCATCCATTTTATCTTAAACCAAACTTTGCCCCCTCGATAATCTGTATGTTAATTCCCTGATAACCAGAAACTTCTATGCTCAAACTCTGTTCGCTATTTTTTTTAACATCTTAATAAAATTTTTAAATCTGGAAAAAAAAAAAAATTCAAGATACATGCAAAATATTTGCTGCGTTAGCCGTTCAGACAAATGGCTGCATTAGGCTAGCTGGGGGATGCACTAACCCACATTATAATCAACTTTAAATAGCAAAAGGCCAAGATATCAGACACTGAAAAGTGGCTTCTGGCCCACGCAGAACTACTGGCAAATGACGCGCAGTCAGTTATGGGCCTAAAACATCTGCCCTTGCACAATACAGCCCCAGTCCCCTGGCCTCCCCCAGCCAGGGCAGAAAGATCGCCGGGACAGGAGCTACGTATCCCTGTGATAGGTCCAACCCGGCTCGCTGCCCATTGAGAACACCACGTCTACACTGCACCCAGGCACGTCATGAACCACCACACAAGCCTCCACAAGACTTTCGCGAACAGGAGCTGCTAACAGGGAGTTTCGCAAGGGAGTTCTCCAGGTGAAGGAGGAGCAAATACAGGACCCTTGGGATAAGTGACTGACTGCAGTGTGTGTTTGTTTGTGTTTGGGGGTTACTTGCTGGGTGCTGAGCTTATGTTTGTCAGTCTGTCTGTCTGTCTGTTTGTTTGAAGGACCGTGTGCTGTGGCTGGCAGTTGGAAGCTGTGAGCTTCAAAGGAAGGTCTGAAAGCTAGAAGCCTCTGGTAATTGGCTGAGCCTTAATCAGTGGGCGGGGCATTCACACAGGCCAGGGCTTTATAAAGCAGCGCACAACCAGGGGCTGCTAACAGGGAGTTTCGCAAGGGAGTTCTCCAGATGAAGGAGGAGCAAATACAGGACCCTTGGGGTAAGTGACCGACTGTAGTCAGGAGTGTAGCTAGGGGGGTTCAGGGGAAGCAGCCGCTTCCCCTCAGCACATTTTTCAAAAGCGGCGCCTGCCAGGCCGGCACTGGGCTCCTGCAGGCAAGGGGGGGGGGCAGCGGGCATGGCTGGAGGAGCGAAGGGGCCGGCTCCTCGGCCATCGTGCCCCATGCTCAGCGCGGCCCCAACAGGCTTTTCGGCCGCCCAAGGAAAAAAAAACATAGCAGCCAGAATGGCAAAACAAAACCAAAAAACCCCAGTGATCTGTGCGCCGGAGCGCGGGTGCAGGGGGACCGGCTAGCGACGGGGAGGGAGCGGGCGGGAGAGAGAGAAAAGGGGGGCAGCCAGGGCTACAGAGGGGCGCTGCCATGCGGCCCCTTCCGCCCTGCCGCACCGCCTGCCGCGAGGGCTCCGTGCCGCTCCGGTCAGCTGGGAGGGAAGGACGAGGACTGCCCTGCCGGGCTTGCTGCAGGACGCTCCTGTCCTCCACGTCGCCGCCCCCTACAGGGCGGCTGGAGCGGAACTAAAAAAAAAAAAAAGCGGCCGTGCCGCCCTAGGATTGGGCAGAATGCTGCCTCGAACAATCTGCCGCCCCAAGCACCAGCTTGCTCGGCTGGTGCCTGGAGCCGGCCCTGGGCCCCAACATCGCCACGGCCACCTCCTGCGGCGGCTCAGGGCTCGGCGGCCGAGCGCTCCGCAGCTGGTGGGCAGATCCCCTCTCCCCGGCAGCTTCCTGCTTCCCTCGGCCCGGGCAGCCCCGCCCCTTGCTAATGCCGGGCTGCCTGGGCCGAGGGAAGCAAGAAGCTGCCGGGAAGAGGGGATCTCACCAGCTGCTGCCTGCCCCACTGCTCTGCTCCCTCCAGCCCCCGGGAGAAGCGAGCAGCGCCCGCCCGCCCGCCACCCCTTCCCCGTGCCCGGCCTCCCCACGGACCGAGCCCCTCCGACGGGGGGGGGCGCAGCATGGCCGGAGGAGCCAAGGGTGGGGGGAGGCGCGGAGCGGCTGGAGGAGGAGCCAAGGAGGGGCGTGGCCAGAGAAGGAGCCGGGGGGGCGCCTTTATGTTTGCTCCCCCTGCACTTAGAACCTGGCTCCGCCACTGCCTGTAGTGTGTGTTTGTTTGTGTTTGCGGGTTACTTGCTGTGTGCTGAGCTTGTGTTTGTCAGTCTGTCTGTTTGGTTGTTTGAAGGACCGTGTGCTGTGGCTGGCAGTTGGAAGCTGTGAGCGTCAAAGGAAGGTCTGAAAGCTAGAAGCCTCTGGTAATTGGCTGAGCCTTAATCAGTGGGCGGGGCATTCACACAGGCCAGGGCTTTATTCGCAAGGGAGTTTAGAAGGGGCGTGGGAAGGGAGCGAGGGTCCCTGGTCGGTTGTGTTTCCCTTTATTCCCCTTAAAACCTATAAACCAAACTACATTCGAGACTTCTTGCTTTTAACAACCCTTTCATTAACTAGGAGACAATGCAGGCAGAAGCCCAGCTGCAGAGTGGGGGCTATCCAGTTTATTGCACTGGGTGCAGCATGTATGATTACAGGCCCTGTGGGCGGGTGGCGTATGTGCGCATTCAGTGCAAGGAGCTCCTGGCCCTTAGAGACCGCGTACGGACTTTGGAGGCCAGGGTGGCGGAACTGGAGGAGCTAAGGGAGGCAGAGAGGTATGTTGATGAGGCTTTCCGGGACACTAGAATTGTCCCACCTCCGGTCAGACAGCCCCTGCGCTGTTGACGAGGATGAAAGGCCCAGGGAAGCAGAGCAGTCAATGGGAGCAGAGGGAAACTTCCCATAGTTGGGACCCTCCTTCCAGACGGTGCTGGGGTTGCCTCTCGCACTGAGGTTACCTCTCTTGGGGAGGGAGCTCCAGTTGCTAGGAAAAGGCAGGTGTTAATAATGGGAGATTCAATCATTAGAAACGTAGATAGCTGGGTTTGTGATGACCAGGAGAACCATATGGTGACTTGCCTGCCTGGTGCGAAGGTTGAGGCTCTCTCGAAGCATCTGGACAGACTTATGTGTAGTGCTAGGGAGGAGCCGGTGGTCGTGGTACATGTAGGTACCAATGACATAGGGAAGGGTAAGAGAGATGTCCTGGAGGCCAAATTTAGGCTGCTAGAGAAGAGACTGAAATCCAGGACCTCTATGGTGGCATTCTCAGAAACGCTCCCAGTTCCACGCACAGGGCCAGGTAGGCAGGCAGAGCTTCAGAGTCTCAATGCGTGGATGAGACGATGGTGAAGAGAGGAGGGTTTTACATTCATTAGGAACTGAGGAAACTTTTGGGATGGGGGGAGCCTATCCCCATATTGACTGGGAACATTTCACTTCAGGACGAAATGCAGAGATAAAATTTCTCGATACTTTAAATGACTGCTTCATGGAGCAGCTGGTACGGGAACCCACAAGGGGAGAGGCAACTCTAGATTTAGTCTTGAGTGGAGCACAGGAGCTGGTCCAAGAGGTAACTATAACTGGACCGCTTGGAAATAGTGACCATAATACAATAGCTTCAACATCCCTGTGGTTGGAAGAACATCTAACAACCCAACACTGTGGCATTTAATTTCAAAAGGGGGAACTATGCAAAAATGAGGGGGTTAGTTAAACAGAAGTTAAAAGGTACAGTGACTAAAGTGAAATCCCTGCAAGCTGCATGGACGCTTTTTAAAGACACCATAATAGAGGCCCAACTTCAATGTATACCCCAAATTAAGAAACACAGTAAAAGAACTAAAAAAGAGCTACCGTGGCTTAACCACCATGTAAAAGAAGCAGTGAGAGAGAAAAAGACTTCCTTTAAAAAGTGGAAGTCAAATCCTAGTGAGGCAAATAGAAAGGAGCATAAACGCTGCCAAATTATGTGCAAGAATGTAATAAGAAAAGCCAAAGAGGAGTTT